CTACTTTTACCGACCGAACCGATTATATTTTGCCACTATCGAGAAGTTTTTATTGCGTTAATAGAATAACAAATGCTTTTCCACGATTAAAGTTAATACAATAATAAAGGAGGAAGCGGTCTGAATTTGTGATAAAAAGACAAAAATTTTTAAATACGAGTTTTTTTTGGCTTCTCGCGTCACGTCATAACAATATTTGATTGTATAAAAGTTTTACAATTTATACGTACAAAATAAGACTGCTTCCTCTAAAAGATTGCATAAAGGAATATTAGTGACCTTGCAGAAATAAGTTTAGAAGTCTAATAAAAAAGATCTCGGTTGTGGAATATTTCATTCACATGTGTATGTGCAAAATGACATTTGAGAATAATACAAAGCAGAAAATTAGTTGCGCGATGTCGCGATAGATGGAGCTGCAATCGTGCAGTTAGACAAGGACAGACAGTCATATTATCTTCGTCTCTCTCATACATAGAATAATATAACGCAAAACGTCTGTCTCTTTGTCAACATAGAGTTTCCTTCAAGAAAGACTGGATGAAAAGGTTAGTGTTCGGAGTCCGTCCGAACTGTTATTCGGCATGATAGGCGCGTGATACTATACGACTCTCAAGCGTGAGCACGTCGTGATCTTCCCTTTTTTTTTTTTTTTTGACGCAGTGGGAATCCTCATAGATACTACCGCTCTCCGGGAAGAGAGCGGATGGTTATGTGGGACTTCTTGTTCCCCTTGGCCGATCCACGAATGGATCGGTCAGGGGGCCCAAGACATACCTCACTAAACCCACTGCGGATACCTTCACGGGCGTTAATGGGGGACGGCCAGGATGCTGGTTTCCCATGCCGACTAGCCGCCCCCCCGCCTAATCCCTCCTTGGGAGGGTGCCGCTGAGGGCGACACTCTTTCCCCCCGCGAATTGCATCGTGCGGGGGTCCTCGCGGTTGCGACGCAGGGCGATATCGACCCCACGTCGCGCCCTCCCAAAGAGTTTGGGGGGCGGGGTTGCGGCTCGAGTATCCCGCTCGAGCCGCCACCCCCCGCCTCCGAAGCGGTGCTCCCTCCCCCTTCCGAAGGGAATGGGGATTCGGCATTCGCCCCGGAGGCCCTCTCCAGAGGGTTCCTCTCAGAAGGAGAGGAACCCCCTCCGTGGACGGCGTTGCCCTCCCACCGGTGCCCTGTGGCTCCCGGTGAGAGGGCCCCGTGCGTCACGTCTCCGTCATAGAGGGGGGCCCAGGCGCCCCAAAAGACGCGTGGCCCCCCCTTGGTCCCCCCGATTACGGCTCTCTCCGCTTCCTTGGGAGTTAGGATTCGGTCGCAATCAGGGGGATTTCCCGTTCGGGGGCGCGGCCGCGCCCACCTCGCCTAGGCAAGGCGGCGCACCCACGCCCCCGATTCTCGAGAGGTCTCTGGGGGGGGAGTCCAGGGACTAGTTGTCCCCGACCCCCCCCCAGCGACCTCATCCCGCGTCGTATGGCGACGCGGGTGTAAAATTGGCGGACCCTCCCCGCCCCCCGCCATCACGGGAGAGTAATCTCCCCAATGGCGGGGAAAGAGAGTGCCCGCCCCCCCCTGCGTGGCGGTCTCCTGCGCCACCGGGGACAAGCTCCCCCCGATTCCCGCCACCACAGACGAGCGAGCTCGCCGATGGCGGGAAGAGGGGAGGCCTATCCCCGCTTCCACTATCTCCTCCATTACCGGGGGCGCACCCCCCCCCCGATTCCCGCCACCACAGACGAGCGAGCTCGCCGATGGCGGGAAAAGAGGGGGCCCATCCTCGTTTCCACCGTCTCCGCTTCCACCGAGGGCGCGCCCCCCCCCCGATTCCCGCCACCACAAACGAGCAAGCTCGCCGGTGGCGGAAAAAGAGGGGGCCCGTTCCCTTCCTCCTCGTCTTCTTCCTTCTCCCCTTCGTCCGAGGGCTGGGAGTTGCCTCTCCCAGCCCTCTCCCTCTCTCTCTCCGCCTCCTCCTTCTGCGACATAACTTTCTCGCAGAAGGAGGGGAACGCCATTCAGACCTCTTCTCTCGCCACCATCTCCTTTACTAGAGATGGCAGCGAGAGATCTCCCCCCCCGATAGCTGCCTCCAACTCTCTCCTCTCCTCCGACCAGGCCACACACTCCTAGAGTGTGTGGCCGGCCGTGTCCCTCCTTTCGTTGCAATGGTGGCAACGTGTCGTGCGCTCTTTCTTAATACGACACAGATACTCACCGAAGCATCCGTGCCCGGTGAGTACCTGCGTCATTCGGTAAGAAACACCCCCCTTGGCCCTGCCTAGCCATTGTTCCAGGCAGGGCCGGATGACCCCGACGGTCCACTGCCCCGGCAGCTGCGGGTTTTGCAGCATGCCGGACCAGCTTTCTATCAATTGCCGTCGGGTGTGGGTCCTCAATGTACGCCGGACATCCGCTGTGACGGCCGTTCCCTGCCTCTGTAGCCCGCATGTACGCCGAAGTATACAGGCGTACACGCGGGCTACAGAGGCAGGGAACGGCCGTACTCTCAGGAGTACCCCCACGGCCATCCAGCTTACCGTACGGAACCCCCGGCATATACGGTTGGCCACCCGCCTTTGCAGCTGATGCAACGCATCTCTGAGTTTGCGGGTGGCCTCTACCTTTTCTGCCCATACGGGGGCTCCGTACATAATCATAGAATGTATGGTTCCGGCGTAAAGTCGGCGAACCCTTCCGTCAGGTCCCCCGAGGTTTGGCAGCAGGCGGCATAGTGCCATCGCTGCCTTGTTTACCCTCGGGGTCAGTTGGCGGAAGTGCTCGCCGAAGGCCCACTTGCCATCCAGGTGGAGACCCAGGTATTTAATTTGGGTCCCCACCTTTATTGGGGTGTTTCCCACCATTATCTGGGCTTTAGGAGGCGCCCCATGAGAGCCGTCATGGAAGAAGACGGCCTCTGTTTTTTGGGGCGCCACCTTCAGCCCAATTCCTCCTATAGTGCGCATGACACGCGCCACCGCAATATTCGCACGCGCCACTGCTTCCCCCCAAGTGCCCCCCCCGGCCATGATTAGCGTGTCATTTGCATAGCAGATGACGTCACAGCCAAAGGGAAGGGCAGTCCTCAGGGTCACGTCGTAGGCGAGGTTCCACATGAGAGTGCCCAAAACTGACCCCTGCGGAACCCCGCACGACACCTCGACCCTGCACTCCTCGGCGTTCTGGTCTACATAGACCAGACTTCTGTCCCGGAAGTAGTCCGACACGACTGACATCAGGTAGGGGGGTACCCTGTGATATTTCAGGGCATCACCCACCCGGTGCCAAGGCAGGGTGTTGAAGGCATTTGAAATGTCTAACGAGACTGCCAGCAACACCCCGCCTTCCCTCATGACGGCCTCCGAGACCGAGCGGACACGCAAGATTGCGTCAACGGTTGACCGCCCGGCCCGAAAGCCGTACTGTCTGTCGTCTAGGTTCGGACCATCCCGGGACAGGTGATGGACGAGGCGGGCAGCGATGATTCTTTCCAGAATCTTTCCCGCCTCGTCCAACAGGCATATCGGCCTGTACGCCGAGGGCGAATCCCTAGGTTTTCCTTCCTTAGGGATTAGGACTATGGATGCCCTTTTCCACTCGCAGGGGAAGGAGCCCTCCCTAAGGCACCCGTTGTACAGGCGCCTCATGGGCTCGACCAGTTCCTTGGAGGCGAGGGCCCAGATTTTTCCGTGGATGCCGTCAGGTCCAGGGGCTTTCCCCTTCTTGATCCTCTTGACGGCATCCCGGATTTCCCCTCCCGTGACCCCCATCTCTGTTTCGTCCCAGTCCTGCTCCCCGGCCTGTATCGGGCTTTGTGTGCCCGACGCCCGGGGGAACAGGACCTCTATGATATTTTTTACGAGATGGGGGTCCAACGACTCCGTTAGTGGTGCCGTCCCTCCTCTCAATTTATTGAGAACTATTTTATAGGGACGGCCCCACGGGTCGTCGTCTAGGGAGGAGATCAGTTCCTCCCAGGCCCTCGCCTTCGCCTGTTGGATGGAGGCGCGTAGGTCGTCTCTTCTATGTTTATAGGCGTCCCACGCGTCCTCCAATCCTTCTGGGTCCAGTAGCGCGTGCTTCTTCCTTCTTTTTATCTCCCTCCTTGCGTGGTCGGTGGACCGCCTTAGCTCGGCGATGTCCTCCGACCACCAGTACGCATGCTTCGGGGACCGGGCTTTGACCTTGGGCATGGCTACGTCGCATGCTTGGGTTACGACGCTTGTTAGCCATGCCCTATGCTCTTCTAAATCCCCGGTCCCCTCTTCCCTTCCTATCATGGCGGCATTAATTGCCGCCATAAACATGTCCGTGTCCAGCTTCCTGAGAGCCCATCTTTTGGAGACCGCCTCTCTTTGTAGGCGACGCTCTGCGACCTCCTTTGTGGTGATGGCGACGGAGATCTCTATGTATCTGTGGTCAGATAGAGTTTCGATCTCCGTCGCCACCCTCCACTTCTTAACCATCCTTGCCGCAGGGCGGGTCATCCATGTGAGATCCACAATTGACCCGCCCTGTCGGCGCACACATGTCTTTTCGCTCCCCAAATTGAGGAGCGTCAGGTCGCATTGCGCCGCTTACTCTTCAACTTCATCACCCCGCCAGTCGGTCCGCGGGGAACCCCATGCCGTTGATTTGGCATTAAAATCCCCCGCGACCATTATCGGTTTGGGGTGATGACAGGCAATCTCCCTCTCTAGGGTCCTCAACCTCCCGCCGAATTCGTTGTTTTTTAAGCTCGGCGGGAAGTATACTCCTATAACGATGATGGGCCCCCAGGAAGCCGCCACGTATCCCTCGCCCGCCCCTATGAGATCCAGGGGGGGGGGAGTCGGGCGTATTCCTCCTTACTATTGCGGCGGAGCCGTCGGTACTTTTTACCCAGTTTTTATTGGGTACTTTGTACGGCTCCGCCACAATGCCTAAGCCGCAGGATCTCTCCGCCATAGTATGGACGAAGAGATCCTGGGCGTTCCTCGCATGGTTGAGGTTGGCTTGGAGTATTCTATCGGCCATCCTCAACCATTTTTGTCCTGGTTCCTCCTTCCGACGCTATTTCCATAACGTCCGCGTTCTCCCCCCCCAGTTCTTCCTTGAGGCGCTGTCTTTTTCCAACGCCTTGGTTGCTGGAGGGGGTTTCTCCTTCCTCAGCTATTTTTCTTCCTCCCTTAGCTCTGGGGGGCCTTTGTTCTTTGGGTCTCTCCTGGGTGTTTTGCGTGGGAGAGACACTTTCCAAAGGCTCCACCTCCATTCTTGTTGCCCCGGATTCTTTTGGGGCTCCCATCGCTTTAGCTAGTGGGATGCCCCTTCTCCCTTTCTGCACCGGTTTGCAGGCCTTTCCCCCCGTCCTGTGATTGGCGGGGAGGTTCTTATCCCCGCAAACCGCGCAGTGTACCGGGGCTTCGCACGTCTTGGCCTCATGGCCTTCCTGACCGCAGCGGTAACATTTACCACTGCGGTCCGCCTTGTTTGGGCATCGCGCTCTGACGTGGCCACCCTCCAGGCATTTATAACACTGGAGGGGACGGTCTTCGAGGATTTCCACTCTTGCCTGTGCCCACCCAACTTGTATCTTGGCCTTTTTGGCCACTATATTTGCAGCCTTGATTGGGCATCTGACCCAGGCCATCTTGATGCCGTTGGGCGTTGTTTTTATTTCGCCCACGCTTACTTCTTCCTCCTCACAGTTGCCACCTTTTGCGATGGCTTCTCTGACTTCCGAGGGGGTGACCGACTCGTCCAGCCCCTTACCCTAAGCTCTGCTGTCTTAGTTGGGCGCTGGATTCTCACCCCCTCCTTACTGACAAGGGCTTCTTTCAGCTTCAGAGCTAGCTTATCTGCTAGCTCTCCGCTGTTCTTGCCGGGGACCTCGTATATCAGGGCTCCGGTGATTGCTCTCCGGATCCTGACTCCCTCCTTTATGCCTATTTCTTTTAGGCTTTCCAGGCCGATTTTTTGTCGGGCCTCTGACATCACCTCTTCGTATTTCCCCGGGGGGCAGGTGATGGTTATCGCAGCTGTGTTAGGTTCTCTCCGTTTCTTTGGTCGTGATCTTCCCTGCGAGGCACGCTTGCCCCGTTTTTGGGTGAAATGCCTAAGCGCTCCGACCAGTCAGTCGTCCGAGAGACCCGAAAAGTTAACGAGCGAGTGATCCGCGATTACGAACCCTGGTGAAATTATTTTCTATAGTGACATTGTTATTCAGTTTATAATCTTAATCAGGCTTTATTCTTAATTTGTGTTTTATTCATTACTGTAAATTTACTCATTTTTTTGTGCCAAAATAAAAACAAAGTTATACAGTCCATTATTTACTTGATTACGTGGCGTCCCACGAACAGTTAGTATATTTCTTTATATGCATGCATGTATGTATGTATGTATGCGTAGAAAATGTTTATAAAGAAATATATATATATATATATATATATATATATATGTATGTATGTACGTAGATTAGAGTGTAAAAATTTTTTTTTGTCCACATTCTAGCTAACAAGTTATATGCGTGTGTGTGTGTGTGTGTGTGTGTATGTAGAAACAGGCCTATCTTTTATAATTGATTATAAAGTAATTAATTCTTTGTAATAAATAAATATAAAATTTTATTTTTAGAGATTGAAGAGTATTTTTGAGATTGAATAAATAGTAACACTATTATTATCAAAACAGAGCAGTAGTTAGATGAGAATAAATCATATAAATCATTTATTTATTACAAAAAATTATCCACTAAAACTTTATAATCAATTATATTCATAAAAGATTTTTATATATTTTTAGATTATAAATTTAATTATTTTTATTTTGGCAATGTAAATTATTTTAAAAAATGTATTATATACGTGTGCATGTATAAAAGAATGCAATGTAGAAGAGAGAAAATAGACAGAGAGATAGAGACAGATAGATCGATAGGTATTATAGATAAATAGATAGATAGACAGATAGACATATACAATAGATAGATAGATAGATAGGTAAATCGATAGATATTTCGATAGATAGACGACAGATTACTAAATAAATCGATATATATGTTGCGTCCTCGGGACGCCTCTCGCTCAGTCACTCACACACAGTCACTCTCACTCGCGCGCGAAATAAAGACACTCGCGTAATAGGGAAATGAACTTTAATATGAGGATCCAATACACAAAACCAATGAAATATAACAAATAGTGCATTCGTAATGCAAAGAAGCTCCGGTCTCGGCAAACGTCCGGACGATGCGACCGCTAGACCAAATCTGTCATGTCTCCCGAAAACAGAAGAAGACCCTTAGTTGTTTAACAACAACTCCCTTGACGACGATCTCCCGGAGGCGTAAAGAGTTGATCCCGCGAAAAGTATCTCTCGATACAAAGATGTAGATTCAGGGGCGTAACACGAGGGCGCAACACTGCCCCCCTTCTTCAAAATTGTCGTCCCGACAATTCTCACGGAGATTGAAGACCTAGGACTCTGACGCTGCTATCAGGGCACCAACGATACTCCGCTCTCCCTTAGCTGCTGCTACAGGTTACCGAACGAAACGCCTGGTCCCTCTCTTTTTGCGTCTACATTGTCCGGACGAATCCTGCTCTCCCTTAGCTGCTGCTACAGGTTACCGAGCTTCGCCCTCCTCCTCTCCGTACTCGAACTGTTTTTTTTGAAGAAAAATTGGCCAGATTTTTTCTATAACAGTCGAGTTTGTTTTAATTATACTATTTCTTATACTTTATTATTGACTGATTTATTATTTGGAAATAAATGAGACACTTATTTTCATACACTTGAACTTAATAACTTTATTATTAATATAATCAACCAAAAGCACAATGACTGAAATTCTCTCTTCATATTTTCGTACGGTGTGTTTGTCGCCGACGACCGACAAGACGTGTGTTTGTACGCGCGTTCCACTCTTTTCAATCACGCTCGCTCAACGTGAGTGTCTTATGATTCATTCCATCAATGGATGGCACCACTGAAACGTTTAGCTAAACCTTTCTGATATTGAAATATTCACTTATTCCAACAGAGTTGATAGAAGATATCCCTGCTGTCTTCGCGGTTTCACTATACTCGCCGTCTCCCGGAAGGACAACGAAATGGTCCATGAATCTTCAGACAAAGGGGGGAATATCTTCCGTGGACCCAACGTTCCTCGTGAACACCCTAAGTCTCTGTCCCGGTATTTGCCCTCAGTCTCGTGGGAAAACCACGGATCAAAAACCACGAGAGGGACAGTCTTCAACGTGATGAACCAAATGACCAATCTTCTGAAGATGAGACGGTCTTCTCAATTGAAAGGAGCCAGTTGCCCTCGATGAGTAATGGTCGCAGGAACTTCCTCAGAGAATTCTCTCGTAACGAAAACTCAGGCAAGCCTCTTCTTAAAAATTTCCAACTAGAAAAGAAAACATTCCTTACGCAAAATAAATTCAACAATTAAAAAAATGCACTTACAAATATACACACAAACACAACTCTCCAATTCCTAGCAATCTTTATTTGAGTTTTGTACTATTTCTAATTAACAATCAATATTTCTATCTAAAAATGGAGCTAATCTATCTGCATGCACTACTTTCTTCCGATGTCTGGGTGTCTTCTGAATGCAGTACACCACATCGTTGAATTTCTTTACAATAGAGAAAGGTCCTTCCCAATTACTCTGTAACTTGGGAGCTCTACCTTTAATTCTTTGAGGGTTATAAAACCAGACTCTCTCTCCCTCTTGAAAAAGAATCTGTCTAACTCCCTTATCGTACCAACTCTTCACCCTAGAAGATCTAATATTCATCTTGTCTCTAATTTCGGAATGGATTTCATTTAACTTTCTTTTGAGAGTATTAGCGAAATTTTTTATCGAAGACGGCTCTTTTTCTTCTAATCTAGGAACATTTCCTTGCAATAGATCCACTGAAAGTCTTAGATCTCGAGCAAAATATAATTCTGCAGGAGTCATCCCAGTGGTTTCGTGCTTTGAAGATCTGTAAGCTAGAAGAAACATGGGAATCCACCGATCCCAATCTTTTTGATTTTGTGAAATATACTTCGCTAGATAATTGATTATTGTTTGATGTTGTCGTTCGACCTGACCATCAGACTGAGGATGCAACGCAGTAGTCCGCGTTTTCCTAATTCCGAGAAGCTTCATTATTTCAGCGAACAGTTTCGATTCAAAATTCTTCCCTTGATCGGTATGTACTTCTAAAGGTACTCCATGTCTTGAAATAAACTCATAAATGAAGATTTCTGCCACTGTCTTTGCTCTAATATTCTTTAGGGGAAAAGCTTCTACCCATTTGGTGAAGCAATCTACGATGACAATTAAATATCTGTTTCCAGAAAAAGTTATTGGAAGTGGACCTAGGATATCCATTTGAATTCTTTCAAAAGGACTTCCGACATTATAGATCTGCATAGGAGATTTTCCTTTTCCTGTGGGGCCTTTCTTAGAAATACAGACCTTGCAAGATCTGCACCAATTTTCAATGTCTTGCTTGTAAGTCGCCCAATAAAAGCGTTTTCGTACCTTTTCTAAGGTTTTGTTTACACCAAAATGACCTCCGAACGGAGAATCATGTACTTCCTCAAGGACTTGTTTAACTCGCTTTCGAGGAACAATCAATTGAAGAAAACTAGACTTCAAATTCGGAGCTTCCCACTTCTTGTAAAGGACTCCATTCTGAAGAATTAATGCATCCCAATAAGTCCAATAAATTTGAGCAGAAATGTCACGAGTCACGAATTCAGAACGAGATGGTCGTGTTTCTTTCATTTTTCCTTGAATAAAAATGGCAATGTCAGGATCTTCTTCTTGATCTTTACGCCATTCTCCCAGATCTTCTGTTTAAAATATAAGTCGTGCAACCATTTTCTCGTTTTCAGACGTACTCTTTATCTCGACCTTGGCACAATATCCACACCCATAAGTCTCACATAGTCGTCTGGACAATCCATCGGCATTCTTGTGAGATTCTCCTTTTCGGTGTTGTACTTCGAAGTCGTATTCTTGGAGTTTTTCCAACCAACGAGCTAGTTGCCCTTCCAAATCTTTAAAAGACATAAGCCATTTTAAGGAAACATGATCAGTACGAATCAAAAATCTTCGACCTAAAAGATAATGTCGAAAAAATTTAATAGCACTGATAATTGCTAATAATTCTCGACGAGTCACGCAATAATTCCGCTCAGTTTTGCTAAAAACTCGACTAAAATACGCAATAACCATTTCCTTCTCATCCTGTATCTGTGACAACACTGAACCAATTCCGAAGTTTGAAGCGTCAGTATCCAAAATAAATTGACTTTCTTCTTTAGGAAAAGATAACACTGGGGGGAAGATAACATTAATTTCAAGTTTTGAAAAGCACTATCACATTCGTCGTTCCAAAAAAATTTAATTTGATTTCCTGTTAAGGCGAAAAGAGGTTTAGCTATTGAAGAAAACCCTCTAACAAACTTTCTATAATACGAGCAAAATCCTAAGAAACTACGCAATTGTTTTTTAGTATGTGGTACTGGTCAATTTTAATAGCAGTTATTTTTTTGGGTCGGTGGTAATGCCCTGTTCGGAGATTACATGTCCAAGATATTTTACGTTTCTTTGGAAAAGCAAACATTTCTTTGGATTAATTT